CGTACCATTCCTTACCATGCTCCCGTACATAACCAGGGGCCTGGGGCCCAGGGGTTTGCGAAAAGAAGCATAAGGCAAGGTAGTGCCTGGGTGCCTTGTTCGCCGCAATTACACGCAGCGCCCACACATCCGAACTCCGTAGGTACCGTCCGACTACTTTTTAGGTACGGAGTACGAAGTGCTGCGTAAGGTATGGTATTGTCGCTTCTCAGAGCCTCTGAGGTCATGATGTTTTCTTTCTCACGCTCGTCAGCCATGACCACGACCAAGTCTTACCTATCCAATGCAACTTCACCAATCCAACAAGCCATCAAACAAATGCCCTGTCTTGCTCCCGCCTGTCTTTCCTCTCTCTCCAAGTCTCGCAAGACCAGCAGAAGAAAAGAAAGTCAACAGGGTCTCATGCCGGTCCATGTCATGCCTTTCCCCTCCTTCCCCTGATCCTGAGCCATCAGCTGCCCAAGGCACCGCGAGCTATGAGATCACGAATGGCTTCTCGAGTCCCTCTCCAAATTGAGACCTGCACCTCTCATTCGGCATCTCCCTGCCAGTCCCTGGCCCTGATCCTGCAAGGCCCTCGTGGCCCTCTTGCTCGGCTGTAACCTGTATCCGTAGATAGGTAGGCCATTGATGATGTCGATGTTCGTCTCTCAGATGCACATCCATAGGTAGTGCCTCGCTTGAGTCGCCCACTGGCGCATCGCCGTCTGTACCGTAGTCCAACTGTCGGCGCCAATCACCATCTTCTTGTCAGACACTAGCAAAGTGACCCGAGATGTGGCTTCTCTAGCCCGGAAACCTTCACTTCCAGGCCAAATCGCCAGAGTCCGTCACAAATTTTCTCCATAGCACCGGCCACGCGAAAAGGGGGGCATCTATGCAAGGGCCACACCCAATCAGCTTCTCCCACAAACCACTCGACGAGGGGCACCCAAGGGAAGCATTGCTTGGTCCACCGTCCAATAGCTGCGAGGTCCCAGGCACACAGGTACTGCGTACACAGGCACACAAGCACGATAGGCTGAAGGGTCCCTGAGACAGGGAAGGCCAAGCCTCGACTCGAGGGCTTAATAACGGACGACTCCTCTCGAACCCCTGGATGCGCTGAAGCTTGCTGGGAATGGCCCGGGGACGGAAACATTGGCCGAGCTGTGAATCTGTGAGGCAGGCGGCGGCGGGAATGCGGGTAGGCGGGCATTGATTGCCACGGTCCCATCCAGCTAAACACTCTCAATATTGCCAGATCCACGAGGGCCAAGCAGTACCTTAGTAGGAGGTTGGCTTGCACTTTGTAGCATAGAAATCATCACCATTGATATGCCCAGAGCTCCGTTCGTGCAAAACAATCTGGTCTCTTGATCTTCAGCTGCTCCTGGTTCCTGAGATGATTGATTAGTATGTCGAGTCCGTGTCAACCTGTAAAGCAGCCCACAAATGTGCACAGTCTGTCGCCTAGCAAAATGCCGCATCGTCTTTGAGCGTGCAGACTTCATTGGGGTTTGATCCGGTCATATTCATGCTCATGCAGGCGCAAGAGCGGGCTGCCGTGCGGTCCCCGATGGCATTTTCAGACTCCGCTGGCCGACCAAAAGAAACGGGCAATGTGTCACGTCGACGCTGGGCGACCCAAATATCCATACATGATATGTTACCGTGGAAATGCGTTGACGACCAACGGGCAGCAACTGAAGTTAGGATGAGCGAGACTTTCAGCCCGAGAACCATTTCGCTTCCCGATGCTGATGCCCGCAGGCTGCGGCACATGCAAGATGGTTGCCGCTGGTATTGTCCGCTGCACGTGTGGCCTGGAAATATCCGATTAATATCAATCCCAGTTCACGCTTCAAATCAGCCAGCATCGAATGCCGTCGATCGGCAGTTCTAGACTTGACGCTGTCACATCTCGCAACCGTCGCAATGGCGTCCTGTATTTCTCTGCAAGCAGCCAGTGGTTGAGAGCGTCTGTAACAGGTTTTTCTGACCATTCGACGAGGATGACTGGCATCGAGGAAGCCGTTGACCCTGTCGGCGGCGCTGACCGCGTGATGGTCTCGCATTCAATACGTGGGTTCAATCACCAACGCCAGGCGCCCCAGCCCGGTCTGCCAAGCTGAGATCATGGTGAAGGTGAGAAAAGAACAGAGTAGACGGTAATGCTCGGCACTTGCGGTAAGGACGGGCGATTGAAAGACAACTTCTCGAGGGTTTCAACTCTGCCACGCTTGTACGAGAAACGAGCTATGGCGAAGAAATCGATGGTACTGCCAGGCCAAAGCCGTTGGAAGAGACTGACTCCCTTTTAACGAGACAAAGTTGGCATATTATTCGGTATGATCTGCACCGCTCGAATCCTAGGACATATGCTCTGGCCGCAATTTGGTGATGCTAATCGCTTGAAGGCCTTATTTCGCTTCTATTTTCATCAGCAAACACGGGCGTGGGGGTGGAACGCCGCCTGCAGACAAAGAAGCGGCCCAGGTAGGATCAGAGTGGGTATCCGCCGGTGGTGGAGAGCCAGGACTGGCGTGAAGGTCCGAGACCGAAGCTGCGGTGAAACCCTCCAAACCGCCCGGAGAGGCCAGCTGTCCCGTAATCTAGGCCCGGTGCCTATGCTGGATCGCTAGCAAAGAGGTCCGGTGATTGTTTCGGATGCTGATCCGGTCTCACTACGGCAATGACGGCGTGGCTCACCACCCTGACTAGACGAAAAAGCTGAGGCAGACAGTGGCGATCTCTCTCTCCTTGATGTTATCGCCGGCCGGCATCATGGAAGCAGCGGACTTTGGGACGGGCCCGGCGCACCGCGATGCCGTCGACAGTTGGGCTCCACTCCACGGACAGTGTGCAGACAGGGACGGCCGGGAGAGTTGGGGTGATGGGTGGTTGAGACGGCGGGCCTATTGAGGCACACAGATTCCGCGTATTCGTGTTCGGTTTTGGATTCTCTACCAGTCCGATAGGCATCCCAGTTGACAGTAAAACGCCTCGCCGTTGATGATCATCATACCTACGCGAACACAATACGTCGACTCCCGAGATGAAGGCTTTGGAGAAAACGTGTTCGAGAAGCATCGAGGTACGGCCCGCGTGGATCACCGCTGCGCCCTGGCGCCGCTCGGAGTGATCTGAGATTGTTGGGCCGAGTCGCCGTGTCATCAAGCAAAAGCTTGGGTTGTCGGAGGCTTCGGCCGAAACAAATGTGGCTGTCATTGATGAAGACGTGGCCTGAAATGGACTGCGTCAGTTGCGACGGAATCCGAGGCACCGGACAGCCGCGGAATAGACCAGCGTTAGAGACAATTGGTACGTAGACTGATGGAGAGGTCAACGGCGAAGGACTGAGGCAGGTGATGCAGAGTACTGTGTCGAGTACACTACAGATGCCAAGGAGCCGTCCGCATCCATACTGCATCCGTAGGCAGTAGATCGTAGTACAGAAAGGGCGTATTCGTAGTTTCGTGCGCAGTAGATAATCAGTTGGGTATCCTCGTGCCAAACCTGGCCGCAGCACTTTAGACTCTTAGAGTAAAGTCGTTAACAGTTGGAGGCTTGGAGTACATGACACAACAACTGCCGTGGTGCCGTGGCGAGGCGGCATGAAGTGTGGGCTGGGCTCGTTATCGGTCTCGCGGGGTTTCCCTGCGCCAGCTTAGGCTTGTGGCAGTGACCATGTGGGCTACCGTCGTCACTTGTGTGCCAACTCAATCGAATGGTGTAGAAGCGGAGAAGGAGAATGGGAGAATGGGACTGCTACTGCGGTGTCATCAACGATGAATGATTCAACGAACCACCCGAGTCAGACGCACCGTCCCCTTGTTGGCATATCGCAGGGTGGGATGTACTCCGTACGGGTAGGATAGTCCACTGCCTGGAGTATTAGCGAGCTGTCCTGATTCCTGACTTCTTATTATGGACGTAGGAGCGGTCCGCCGACGCCTCATCAGACCACCTTTCAGGGACTTGTGGTCTGTACGGATAGAGAACAGCGGTCTGTTCTGTACCGTACACGCTGTGAGAGTGTATGGTTGTGAGAGCGTACGGCCATGTGGTGTGGCTGGCGGCAAAAGAGAGTTGCTTGTTCGATGGTAGGCTTCTGCCGGTTTCCAGTCTACGATTGCCGCACAATGCAAAAGAGACTGCCGTGACCGTCAATAAGGTGGAAGCAGTGAGTGGAAGGTCAATCATAAAGTTTCCGCGGTGGGACCCAGGCGTGGAGATATCTCGGCACCGACCCCTCGGGATCCGCTGGTCGAAGCTTCAAGTCCGTCTTCTCCATTCTGAGTGGTTCACTGTGTAATGACTAAGCATGTAGCTGAGAAGACCGTGCGTCTGGCGTGTACGTATCGAATGTTTGGCGGGGAGACGGTACATGGCAGCGGCAAGAACACCATGCAGAAGGTACGGGGTACCTAAGCTACTGTGTAGAGAGAACGGTGGAAGGTGCGGACTATTACCTGCCCAGGAGTTGACCCGTGGTTTCCTCGTCCTCAGTCTTGGGGCGGACTACCAAGAATTATGGAAGAGGAAGGAAGAAGAGGCTGACAGTCCGCGCCGAAGCGGTGCGGTAGGGACACTCACAATGGAAGCTACCAAGGCACAGCAGTACGTAGAGGAATTTCCCTTGCACAGAGGAAGGCACATCTGGAAGGTACCTACTCCGTACAGACGGGAGGAAATTGAGTAATGGCTTTCCGCTGAGAGTGGGACAGAAAATGGAAGGAAGGCCAGCTCGCTTTCGACTCGGAACGGCCCTGCCAAATCCTGGAACTAGAGGTTGCCAAAACCGACCCGACTAGAAGGTGGAGAGTCCTTAGGTTCCTTCCAGATTGCCTCGGGCTTCCATGCTTCTCTCTCCAGGTTCTGAGGCGCGGAATGCATCCAAGTATCCGAACCTTTCCTTGCCCTCCTTGCCCTGCCCTGCCTTGCCTTGCCTCATTACGAATATTCGTACATGGCCTTATTACACAGTAACATTGTTCCCAAGGTACTCAATAAGAAGGTTGTTAGCAAGGAAGAAGACCAAGTCAGCCCAGCCCAGCCCAGTGTCCACCACCTTAGCCAAGACCATCCCCGAGCCATGCCGTTGAATGCAACATGCCCGCCGGTCCCTTATCGCACTTCCGATCCAAAGTTCCGTCCGTTTCCTCGTGTGCTCCATGCGGCCTACCCGCCCCGGCCTGCTTGCTTGTCCACCTCAGTGTCCTCATCAACTCCCGTCGAACGAGACGAGAGACTTCTGCAGCGCACCAACAAACCCCGTCGTCTCTTTTTACTTTCTCTTGACCTTGCCCTCTCCGACCCTTACTCTTACTCTTATTCTCACTCCCTCCTTCTAAGCCCTTCTTCTCAAATTCCTCCTCCACCCTCCGCCGTTCCTATTTCTTCCCGCTGACTTTTCATCCCGAATCCGCTTACTATTCACTCTTCTTTCACACTTTCCTCTACTCCGTACCGCAGTCGGCGACATCTACGACGCAATACTCCCCGACACTCTTACACCTCACCTATTCTTCCTCCCGCGCTCTCTCGCTACCTATTCAGTCTTCACAAGCTCAACTTTGCCTGTGTGCTTCCGCCCGTGCCTTTCCCAACTGGGGTCTCGGCGTCCTTTGCACAGACCGGTAAGTCCAAGTATTCTTCTCCTTTGCCCGTGGACCCTAAACCCCCGTCACCCCATCCCAGTGCTTTGGTCTACCTAGGTGTCAGCCTTTGGTCCCACGCTGTACACTACATACACTACCAAAACAGTTGCGCTGCAACTGGATACCACATACTGTGTATAGGTAGTGTACAGTGTAAGGTCAAGTCAGGCCGTCATTGGCGGCGCCGGGACTGCTGGCACTGGTGCGTGTCCGAAACTCGGCATCACACTGTTTCCACTCTCCCCGACCGACGGGCTAAATCCTGGGTCTGACGGTCTGACCAGACTTCCCTTCTGGTTTTACCCACATCTTCCTCCTCCACCACCGCAATCCACCATCTCTTCCTCCCGGCCAATTGTCGAATCACCCCCGCTGATCTCATGTGAACACGATTGCAGTATTCCGCTCCGTACCTTACCTTACCTTACCTCACGAGGCTTGAATTTCTCCAACTTCCTCCAACAACCGCCACTTCCCGCGGCTGTTAGATCCTCCCCCCTAAAAGTCGCCTACTCACGGCTGTCAACTCGGCAATCCCACTCGCATTCCTGGGTCGGTGATTCTTCATCTCCATCGCTCGCTTGCGACTTTTTTACCTCCTTGCAGCAACCCCGCCAAACTTCCCTACTACAACACAAACACCTCTCGCTGTCGCGCATCACCTCGGAATTGTCAGTGCTTCCGAGCCGCAACCCTTCCGAGCAGTCCAGTTGAGTCCGACGGCCCAACATGGCGGAACTCGACACGCTGGACATCGTCGTCCTGGCCGTCATCCTCTTGGGTACGGCCGCCTACTTCACAAAGGGCAAATACTGGGGAGTAGTCAAGGACCCCTATGCCAACGCCTTTGCCAACGCCAATGGCGCCAAGGCCGGCAAGACGAGAAACATCATCGAGAAGATGGATGAGTCGGGAAAGAACTGCATCGTCTTCTATGGATCCCAGACTGGTACCGCCGAGGACTACGCCTCGAGACTCGCAAAGGAAGGCAAGAGCCGCTTCGGTCTCGAGACCATGGTCGCCGACTTGGAGGACTACGACTACGATAACCTCGATTCCATCCCCAGCGACAAGGTCGTCATGTTTGTTCTCGCCACCTACGGTGAGGGCGAGCCCACCGATAACGCCGTCGATTTCTACGAATTCATCACCGGCGAGGACGTCTCCTTCTCCGAGGGCAACGACCCCGCCTTGGACAACCTCAACTTTGTCGCCTTCGGTCTCGGTAACAACACCTACGAGCACTACAATTCCATGGTTCGCAACGTCACAAAGGCTCTCGTGAAGCTCGGCGCACACAAGATCGGCGAGGCTGGCGAGGGTGACGATGGCGCCGGTACTATGGAAGAGGATTTCCTGGCCTGGAAGGACCCCATGTGGGCTGCTCTCGCCGAGAAGATGGGTCTGGAGGAGCGCGAGGCTGTCTACGAGCCCACCTTCAGCATTCTCGAGCGCGAGGGTCTCGACGCTTCGTCCGCCGAGGTCTACGTCGGAGAGCCGAACAAGATGCATCTCGAGGGTACCGCCAAGGGTCCCTTCAACGCCCACAACCCCTACATCGCCCCCATTGCCGAGTCCAAGGAGCTCTTCAGCGTCAAGGACAGAAACTGCCTGCACCTCGAAGTCGACATCAGCGGATCCAACTTGTCCTACCAGACCGGTGACCACATTGCCATCTGGCCCACGAACCCCGGTGAAGAGGTTGACCGCTTCCTCGACCTCGTCGGACTTACCGAGCAGAGACACTCCGTCGTCAGCGTCAAGGCCCTCGAGCCTACCGCCAAGGTCCCCTTCCCCACGCCCACCACCTACGATGCCATCGTTCGCTACCACCTCGAGATTTGCGCCCCCGTTTCCCGCCAGTTCATTTCCACCCTCGCCGCCTTCGCTCCCAGCGAAGACATCAAGGCTGAGATGGTCAAGCTCGGTGGCGACAAGGAACTTTTCCACGAGAAGACCGGTGCTCACTTCTACAACATTGTTCGTTTCTTGGATTCTGTTAGCGGCGGTCAAAAGTGGACCAACATCCCCTTCTCCGCGTGGATTGAAGGCCTCACCAAGCTCCAGCCCCGTTACTACTCCATCTCCTCCTCGTCCCTGGTCCAGCCCAAGAAGATCTCCATTACCGCCGTTGTCGAGAACCAGACGATCCCTGGCCGCAGCGATCCGTTCCGTGGTGTCGCTACGAACTACCTCCTCGCTCTGAAGCAGAAGCAGAACAACGACCCCGAGCCTACCGCCTTTGGACTGACCTACGAGATTACTGGCCCCAGAAACAAGTACGACGGTATCCACGTGCCCGTCCACGTGCGCCACTCCAACTTCAAGCTGCCTTCCGATCCCTCCAAGCCCGTCATCTGCATTGGTCCCGGTACCGGCGCCGCCCCCTTCCGCGGTTTCATTCAGGAGAGAGCCAAGTTGGCTCGCGATGGCGCCGATGTTGGTCAGACCATTCTCTTCTTCGGATGCCGCAAGTCGACCGAGGACTTTTTGTACAAGGATGAGTGGGAGGTAAGCAAAATTCACAAGCAAGCTTTTGCACGTTCCATGACGTGAGGCTAACAGTTGTAACAGCAATACAAGAAGGATCTCGGCGACAAGTTTGAACTCATCACCGCTTTCTCCCGTGAGGGCCCCAAGAAGGTTTACGTTCAGCACCGTCTCAAGGAGCGCTCCAAGGAGATCAACGAGCTTCTCGAGAAGAAGGCCTACTTCTACGTCTGTGGTGACGCCGCCAACATGGCTCGTGAGGTCAACACCGTCCTGGGCCAGATTCTGGCAGAGCAGCGTGGCATCTCTGAGGCCAAGGCCGAGGAGATTGTCAAGAACATGAGAGCAGCCAACCAATACCAGGTACGCCGGATCCGTTTATTCCACAACAGTTTTGTGACCGATGCTAACAAAAACCTCAGGAGGATGTCTGGTCATAGAGTCAGTCTGTGTTATGTGACACGGAGTAAGGGATCTAGACGGAAAACGGAGAAGGCATCTACGCCCTCTTATAGAGGCGCGAAACTTTGTGCGTGCGTGGGATACGTGTGTGTGTGTAGATGTGCGCACGTCTTCTATATCAGCATAGGGCGGCGTATGTTGTGCATATTGGATCGGGATGAACGGAGTAATATCTCGGGGAAGCCTACCTACGTAAACCCATCCCACCGACCTCTTTGCAGGCAAATCGCGCAGACGGGGTTCTTCTTCGAACTATTTTACATCAACGCAACGTTGGGCAGGCAGGCATGATGACGAGCGGACAAGGGGGTTGGCTTGGTTGCTTGACTTGATTTTTCAACTTGGCATATAACCTCTCTATTTTCTTGTGCTTATGCTGTCATCCTCATGTCTCTCATGCCGCTGGACTCTCAGTTGGTCTTTTTTTCTTTTGGAGTTTGTACTGCAGATAATGATTCGCTCAGAGTATAGACAGTTCATCTTCCAAAGTTCTCAAGATGTGCCCGTTGCGATGTGCCAGTTGTGACGTACCATCAGCCCAGATACATAAGTCCGTATATCGAGAAGCATTGTTGTCTTTTGGGAATCACTACTAGGAGGCAATTAGTCCAACCTCAACCGAGGTCATGTGAGACGGCCATTATGAAGAGATGCTGGTGACACGGGTACTTGCAGCAATTTTATCGTCTCCATGGCCTGATTTACCTTCGTGGTGGTTGCTCTTGTCCTCTTCCTATTCGAGCAAGGAAATATATCATCCTCTTCTTGACACAAACTTGGGACCCCGTCACTTTTGGTCAGTAATCAATAATTGAATCGGAAAACCTGGACAGATCGGGGAAACACCAAGCCGCCGTCCTCCCGTGCCGCCGTGCGGCAGAGAATCAAATAATCCTTACCTCGCAATCAGTCAGCATATCCAACAACAGGTTCGAATAACCCTGTCATAACCCCTCCCCCCGGTTTCTCTGGACGAATCTGAACTTCCGACAAAAGACAAACCCGGAGTGAAGGAGAAAAGAGACACTGAAGTGGTGAACCAAGAACGGGGCAGAGACGCGATTCGATCCCCCTTCCCTCCCCTCACCCCGCAAACATCCCAAGATACGGATGGGCACTGCCTGCCGAGCGGAGGATCGACTCGGTGACCGGGGTCGGACGATGGCACTAAGCCAGAAACTGCTCTCCGAGTGCGAGCTTTCGCTCCCCCCTTCCCGTCCGTCTCCCCACGGCCTTATTTTACGGATACCGTCAACCACACGAGAGTCGTCGTTCAGGGCCAGGGCGCCGATGACGACCAACACAGCCTGCTGCCAATGCTGTTCCCCACAGGTGACCTTCTCGATCCGAACGGCGGCAGCGGCGTCTCGGGTATCTCACACGATCAAGGAAAGACAAACAATGAGCAAACATTAAGGCTTAGAGGATCATTCACCTGCAGAATCCTGGAAGGAGGGGGGTGGACAGGACGGCTGAGGCCAGATCCTCTCTGTATCTCCTCACAAAGAAACGTGATATCGCATCCCCCTCTCAATATTATCTCCGGCCAGTGCCTCTTGCAGTGTCTGTGCGACCAAATTCCATCATCGCTTTGCCGATTCTTAGAGGTTCGGCAGAAGCCGCGATTTTGTCTTGGTGGTGGAGGAAAGAATCGAGACATGACAAGCCGGCATGACCTGCATGACGGCCGAAGCAAGGCGCAAAACAAAAAGGCACTTTCAAGTCGGGCGGGAGTGACTGACTGGCCTACACTCCTCCGGATCATCGCCCATGTCTGAGCCCAATTTGCCGTCTTTCCACGAAATGAGCGTCAGTCGCCAATCGGTCTCGTTGTCCGAGTTGAAACGGGCACCAAGGGAGTGTACTTTAATGAAAGTTGCGCAGTCGAAATCGTTTGATTCGTGAAGGCAGAAAGGCCAGTGTGAAATGGGAACAACTTTCGAGAATCAAATACTCCGTACGCCTGTAACGCCTTGCTTGCTGCAGGCTGCAGCAACAAGCCGATGTTTGCCTTTTGGTCCTGGTCTGCCGCTGCAAGATCCGATCTCCGCCCCAGCCAACCTGCAACCTTTGCCCTTGGCAGCCCGGACTTTGCTTACCGCCACTTTGGACGACGGAGATCTCAAAGGATCCAGTCACATCGGTTGTCCTTTTGCAGAAAGGCATCGCTGCTCGACTCTCGACTCCAGAGTCCAGACACCGCTCGACAGCCACAAGAGCAGGCACTTCGTTCCGACCTTTACACTACTCGCCCGAGCCTGGGCCTGGCTTGCTGAAGCGGATCCTCTGTGCAAGTCCAAAAGTTCGGACCAGACGACGCGGTTAAAATTGTCAGGAGAGCCGGGATGAGGAGCAGGTCGGCGGAAATGTGGAGGCTTTCATCACCACAGCTTCAGCCTCAACTCTTTTGCGACCTCACAGAAAGAGTGTTCCTCGCCATGGACATGAACCACCAAGAGGCTGCAAAAGAAACCAGAGGAGGGTCCCTTGCAAATCTGAGAGTCGAGTTCATCTCGTCATGTGCGTGAAAAAGCGGCGCGGTCTTATGCCACCCACCCCACGGCATTGCTTTTTCCTCGTCGGCACTAGCAGGGAACGAGCATGTTAGTCCTCGGTTCTGGGCCAAACACGCTTCGCCTTCTGGATGTGATTTCCATAGGTATTCTTCTGCTCCTTCTGTGGGTGTTCACCGTTGGTTGTTGACGCCAGCACCGTGGCCTCGTGGCTCGACCGGGTTGTGATCTCTCGGAATGCCGTCAACGGGCAACGGCAGGCAGCCTCCCTGGCTGGTCGTTCGTCAGCACTGTTTCGAAAACACGAAGAAAGACACAACCGGAGAGAAGATATGAAATTCGCACAACCTCGGAGATGGCAACGACAGTATGCCCTGCGTATCGAAATTGGTCTCAGGTACCCGCCACGCCACGTCGGGTTACTTGACACTGCTGCCCGCGCCAACACTCCAGATCACGCCAGCCACAGACTATCGTGAGATGCAGGCCGCACACTTTCTAATCCGAACCCGGCTAGGTTCTGTTTCGTCTCCAAGTGAGTGATTCTCAACAAAAAAAAGGAAAGCCAGGTCCCGCTTCGCTGGCTGTGGACGAACCGCCGTCTTCCGTTCCCCAAACTGCAGACATCCTCTGCTTAGAATCCAACACCTTCTTTGAGAAGTTGGTTCCAATGCTTCGTCTCAGAAGTGCTCTGAATCCCTGATCCTGGGGCACCGAGACTTCCAGGAGTCAGCTGGCCAGTCAACGCCCAGTATACACCTCCGACGTGGTGGGTGGTGGGCATCGGGATGTCTGCCAAAGTGAGTGCTGAGTGCGTCGCGGTTGCCGGCAGCCATTGGCCCCCCCGTCGAACACACACCTCCACGATGAGTATCGATCTCCTACTCAGGCACATCAGTTCACCCGCTAGGCCTCAGACTGGCCGCTTCAAAAAGAGAGACATCAGGCAGCCCGACCTTTTTCTAAACCCTCGGCCGGACGGCCTCTCCTTCTCGACGCTAACCCTGTCTCAGAGATCAGTGGGAAGAAAAGAAACAAGTTGAGTGGATCAGCACTCTATGACAACCACGCTTGGCTGCAGGGCAAGGATAGCGGACTGCACAGAAACCAAAAGAGCAGCTTCCATAAAGACGAGCAGAGATCCCCTCCCAGCGGCCGGAGAATCGCCCCTATTTTCCTTCGAAATGGCAATCAGATAGATCTTCTCCTCTTATCCGACGACTTTTTTCGTGGTAGAATCGTTACCCTGGTATTCTTAGGACAAACGGACGGTGCATGACGGTTGCATTTTGATATCGGAGTTTCCTTGTCGGTTTGGGTACTTGCAGCTTCGTCTTTGGAGGCATTCGTTGAGAAACCGGTTCAACGCAGTCACTTCATTGCGAATTCCCCCGCAGACATCGATATCGTCGGCCAGTGACAGCTTGAGGGCGTTGGCTCTCGACATTTCAAAGGCCAACCTGGGCTGGAGTTCTGGAAACACGGTTTGGTCAGCCCCATAACTTCGCACTGCTAAGAGATACTAATACAACTTGCAGACTCTCTCAAATATTGACGACAACCTTGGTAGTAGATTTCTCAACGGTATCAGCACCTTTGGTTGATCGAGAATAGGCGCAGCGAACCAGGCAGCCGAAGGAAGACTATTCGCAGATCCAAAGAAGGGACCAACTCGCTATCTTGGCTCGCAGCACGTCATCTAGCAGTTACCGAGTACCGTCTTCTGCAAGAAGTCAGGGTCGACTACTTTTTAGCAAAGCAGGAGCATCACTCAAGATTGTGCGAGGCTTTCAATTGACGAAGGAAGAGGAAGCTGGCATTGTCTGTCGGTCATTGCCACGGCTTGCTCGAGGCAATCGTTCCTCTGTAGCTCATCGTCGACTGTTTTCTTCTGTTGTGTAGTTTCCCTCCTCAATTCAGGAGAGAAAATCGTCAGATCTACAACTTTTTGAAAGCCTTGAGATCTAGAGCAGAAGGAGGAAGCAGTGAGAAGTAGAAGGAAAGGAAAATTGTCTCCACGTCCGGGCATCTTTCCAGTCGCACTTTTAGGTACGTTGCCTTTCTTCCTAGGGTACCTGAATCCCGTCAACCCTTATCGACAAGATGTTCCAAGCTGGAAGGAAGGAATGGGTTCTACCTCTTTGCTACGAGGAAGTTGCTAACATTAGGAAAGTAGCACGGCACGTCTCCTGGTACTGGCAGCTGATACCCGTCGGGCCTTTCCCCCCCGTACAAATTGACGAGGCCATCTCTTTGCCTCCCGGGTGCCTTCACCTTCTCTGCTTACATCGTCACTGGTCTTGTTCTTCCTCTCAAGCACATCATCTCTTTCCCACACTCAGACGCCTTTTCAACCTCTCCTTCCAGCCTTCAACAGATCCAACAAACTTGGGCTGCAAAGGAAGGCAAAGGAAAGCAAAGCATCCTTAGGTACGTCTCGTCATCTTCTCGTCCTTTATCTTCTGCCAATGCCCCAAATTCGCTTTCGTTTCCTCCATCTTCTCTCTTTTCTCTTGACCACAGCATCACCACCACACTTCTTCAACCCACCACACAGTCTCTTTGACTCCGAGTGCTCCCGATAGCTTGTTCCATCTTTTTACTGATCACTCGCTTCTTCACAGAGTCTTTGGTAACAACATTTCCCATTGTTGACGTTGTTCGAGTCTACGTCTGTGGTTCCAAGCCCCTGTTCAACATCGAGACGACAAAGGTAAGTTTGGGCTTTACCGCCACACTCCACGCAAACCACCCCATATCCTGCTTGTCTTTGACAGCATCACATTCTTCCCTCTCCAATAGTGTCACCTATTGGCGGTGTGACCATTTGGTTGCATCAGCCCAATTTGGTGGAGGTCATTCCGATCTTGCAGATTTCCTCGCCATTTCC